AGACTGTCCGCACTCGTTGCGGCATCGCAGTAATATCCCAGGCCATTCTAGAAAGACGAATAAGTTGGTTTTGGCACGTTCTTCGGGTCTATGCGCCTGGAAGGACCTTAGGTAATGGTTGTCCACCAGAACTTGTGAGAATTGGGCCTATGTCCGGCATTACCGACGGAGAAAAGAAGAACTTGACTATTCGTTTTCCTAGTCGCCTTCTTGTCCTCCGCAATTTCGTTCCCAGATCATATCAAGCCGCAATGAAGCTTTACTTCTTGTTTAAATTTAGCACTCTCTGGTTCGTGTCGCCCTTTTTCTGACCTGAAGACTAACGGAAGCACAGTCGAGTTTCCCCAACGGGGTCCACTCGTTCGATATTTAATTACATTTGGTCATCGCATGTTATTTCAATGGCACGGTTGGAACTATGTAGTTCTTCATCGCCACTTTGCGCTTTTATTGTTGGACCAGAAATCGTTCGTCTAACAGTCGACGGTCAACCAGCCCAGATGGATTGTCCACCAATTGGACAAAAATCTGTGGCTTTCCGGGTACAGTAGTTGCCTAGGATGACTCGGTGAAAGGATTATTTTATGTATCATCTCGACTGGAAGGCGGACGTCCCCTCCCCTCGAAACTGTCCTAGGCTTCCATTGCTGTCCCCATATAATGACGGGTGGAGCATTATCTGACGGTGGACAAAGCATTTATTATGTTGTAATGCCGCTACAGCTTGTGACCTTTATAGGCTCCCTGTTTGCCAGATTAGTGTCCCGCCATCCCTGAAGACATTATTCCTGCACTTTGCGCGTCTGCTTGTTTATCCGGCCCGATATTCTTGTTTTGCGACCACCCTTTGTTGAGGGCCATTCCATTACCCGCCATCTATTGACCCTGTCTTCGGGGTATCTCATCTTGGTACGAACTTCATGGTCTTTTAATGTCATGCAACTGCCTTGGCACACTTTTGTCCTTGAACGCCCGACAAGCTCCCGCAGTCAGTCATTCGGTCAAAGTCTCAGCACACTCCTTGTGTCCGTTCAAGTGGTTTGAGCTGAGCACTACGCAGCCTGCCGTGTTTCTCTTAGAGACCATGTCGAGTGTTCACTCGCCGTACACTATGATTTTCTAATCGCGTAGAAAGCAAGTGCTGAGGGACCAGTTAATGCGTAAAACTTAATGCTGATGTTACTTGTCCGAATTTTCCCTTGACCTTCGGCGAGCCCAACTATGTCGGCGGAAGATAGAAGGCGGAAAATATTTTGGTGAGGTTGAGAGACCTTTCTGCTGTTTTAACTCTTAGGCCTAGCAAACCTTGCGTCCACATGCACATAAAGCTAAACATTAGTGGCAGATATTAATTGCTGTCCCTGGCTCTCACATGCTTTCGGATTTTTTTTAGACAAGCCGCCCTCGAAGAGTGACCGTGACCAACGAAGAAGCGAGTACAGCTCTTACCGAACCTTGAAACAGCATCTCTTTATTGTTGAGAAAATGATAGAATCTCCGGAAATGTCGGCTGAAGAACTGGCCGCTCTTGCTCAACCTATAGGTCGCTGTCATAGACAAAAGCGCCCCAATGGATCGCCGGCACACACTGTTGATACCTTCTCCGGTCGCCAGCCAATTCCCTACGTGGAAGAGCGCTTAAAGCCGCTTGAGAGTCCAACTCACCCGCAGTCTGACTGCCATTCAGCGTGGTCGTCCCCATCTCCTTTCCCGCCTTGATTTATTCCCATTTAACGAGCTATATTCACTGGTATAAACTGATTAGTATGTCTTATCCCTGCGTTTGCTTGGTCTTTCTTTTTTTGGGGACGCCGACTGTTTCCCAGTTTTTATGACAATAATTTTTAAGTCATTGCATTTGAAGTGAATTATTTGCATTTATTTTACTGACGATTAGTTGTACTTGATGCTTTGCTTCTTTGTTCAAGTTTGTCGCTTTAATAAACTGCGAGAATATCCCCGCATCCGGCTGTCACCACCGCTTTTTCTCTTTCACGTGCTATAGCTTGCTTGATTGGTCGGTCATTTTGTGAAGCATTTGGACTGGAATACACTAAAACACCCCCGAATTAGTGCCAATGCTGCTTATTACTATGCTTTTTAGTCTCCATGGTCTGGTGGCCACGCATCACTATCTGATAAGGCAACATTCTGAGCGTCTCATGGAACAGGGCCTGGGACTGCAATGACTCGTGTTCCATGTTAGGAATGATTTCTAATAGCATGTAGTTGTCTGCCAATCAGCAACAACGAGCATAAAGTTAAATGCAATGATCCGTTTGCGTACTCTACGCAGGTTGTTTATTGGATTCAGAGGTAAAAACCTGAGACAAGTTATGTTTAAGAGCCTCAATTAGTGGGAACTGATGTCCTATTTACTGTCCATTTGTTTGCTGGACCTGCGCGGTAGTTACTTCATGCAGGTCCGAAGGCCGTAAGTTACTATTCGCAGCTCGGGGGCGCGAGCCACAGGCGCCTTCACTTCGGACGGTTTACTGTTTAGATATTCCATTCGGTAATTCGCCCCACTGATCTAAGTATTTTACAATACGCATTTCTAATGTCTACTTATACTTTATTGATAATATGGACATGTTCGACTCATAAGCATGGGGTACAGAAGGATCATGCATCCGCTTCCAAGAAAAGCACTTAACCAACCAGAGGAAGACCCAACACCCACTGTTGAATATTCGTTTTACAATTGGTATGTCTTTGGTCCACATTTTACCCTGTATCAGCAGCCTCTGTAAATGGAGAAACTGACACCTAACCCGAGTCTAAATTTAGCTGATTTAAGTGCCCTGTATCATGGTTTTATAAGATTGCAAGCACTCCCAGAAGACAAAAGTAGGATAACTAAATTCTGTAATCAAATTGTTTAACTCAATACATTATGGATTAAGCAGACTGGGGAGTCCAGATGCATTCCAGTTTCTCGGGGGCTTCAACGCCTAGTTGTCCTTGGAGAACATGTGAACTATAAGATCGACCACACGACAACTGTAACCATATTCATTGTCGTACCAAGAGATCAGTTTGCAGAAGGTGTCATTTAATGAGAGACCGGCCTTTGCATCGAACGTGGAAGAGGCTGTGCTTGTTCGGAAATCCATGCTCACTACCTCATCGTCTGTATATGCAAGAATTCCTTTTAGGCCAGGACTTTGAGATGCAGCCTTAACAGCCTCTTTAATTTGGTCATAAGTGGCAGGTTTTGCTAGTTTGCACGTTAAGTCCACGACGGAAACATCCGGACATGGTACACGGAAGGCCATTCCAGTGAGTTTTCCATTCAGTTCAGGAATAACCTTTCCAACTGCCTTTGCTGCACCGGTCGCTGCAGGAATTATATTTTGGGCGGCACCTCTGCCGTCACGCCAGCCTTTGGCGTTAGGTCCATCGACAATTTTCTGGGTAGCAGTATATGAATGGATTGTCGTCATCAAGCCCTCAACCATTCCGAAGTTCTCATGAATCACTTTCGCTAAGGGAGCAAGGCAGTTTGTTGTGCAGGAGGCGTTTGAAACGACGGTCATCGATGGGTCGTACTTTTCCAAATTGACACCACAAACAAACATAGGAGCGTCAGATGACGGAGCACTTATAATGACTTTTTTCGCTCTATTATTTTTCAGGTGAACCTACAAGATAGGTTTTGAAAACAGAAACATACCGAAGCCTTGTCTACAGTCGTGTTTATACCAGTCGATTCCACTACGTAGTATGCACCGTCCTTGTCCCATGGGATAGCTTCGGCGTTAAGCTCCTTATAAACAGAAATTCGATGTCCATTGATCACGAGCTTTCCATCGCTCATTGAGACGTCTCCGGTGAATGGGCCGTGGGTTGAGTCATATTTAAACATGTAAACCATATATTTCAATTCAATGAAGGGATCATTGACTGCTACGACATCGATTGTGCCTTTGCACATAGCTGCACGCAAAACAAGACGTCCAATTCGGCCAAAGCCATTGATCCCGACTTTAGCCTTGCTCATCCTAGGTGGTCAAGTGATAAGTGAAGAGTGTAATGCGCTACCGTGAGGTTATCACTTGGATATCAACGTATTAAAACAATATGCTCGTCAATGACCTTCAGCAGCATCGTTCAATGCTTTTACCAATTGCTAATGATTAATCACGTTGCGCTACTAGCATTCCTGATCTGTGGCATATAAAATAACCAAATGACCATAATTTGCTAACTTTCGGAGCGAATTCTTTGTTCACATCCTTTGAGGACTCACGTGCTCACAATATTTACTATACATAGGCCATGTAAAGGGAAAAATGAAAAATAGTTGATGAATAGGATCCGAAAAATATCTGACGCAATGTTTCTCAAAGCCCAACAGTACAAAATAATAAGCATGGCGTCTACATTGGAATGTAACGAGCTTCCACTTTGTCAGGCTCTCTGTGGATTGCCGCCCAGGAGAGAGGAGCCTGTCGTTTCATTATAGTTTTGGAAAAATAGTATAAATGGCTTCATCGATGGGCGACCAGAAAACGGTTTCAATGAAAACCGTGCAATGACTTAAATGAAGAAGAAATGTACAGTAATGTTCGCTTGAGATTTCGCTTGGTGCAAACAGTTGAGAAATAGCATATCGGGAGGAAGCTGTTCTAATTAGAAAGGTTTAATGGTCTTTGCCGGGCTTTCGGTTTGAGGCAAATAATTCTTTTAAAAAATATATATACAAAATCCAACGGAAATGAAGAAAGGTTCCCAATGGAATGTGCTTTTGGGGTACGGAAATCTCCAGATTTTCAATAAATGCATTGAGGAGGAAAACATGGTAGAGCCTATAACGGGGCGTGGAGGAGAACTCAAAACACGGTGAAAGTAATCGGATGGTCCATGTTGACAGATCATTTATCGTGGCCGAGGTCTAAATGAAGACGGTTACAGAACCCATAGTTTTTTCTATCGGCTATGACTTCAGGGAAGCTTTATTGTGTTAGAGCTTCAAAAATGTAAAGGCGTCATAATATATGCGTAGGGAGATGTTGTGCTGTAGAAAACATGAAGTGGGTTGGGGATCGGTGTGGTACAGTGAAAACACTATAAAACGGGATCATCCTGAGGGTGGTTGGTGAGGGAAACCAAGGCGGCATAGCGAGTGTACATAACGAATCACGGACTATTTGCCAAAAGGGAGCGTTAGGAATACTATTGTATTTCATAATGGTCGTCATATCTTGATTACAAAAAACGGATTTCATATGCAAAACGGTGGCCAACAAAAAAAGTAGAATGAAAGAGAATTCCTGGATGCATGGTTATGCAGACGTGAAATGATCAAGTAGTAATAGCCAAAATTGGGAGTCAAGTTCTTATAATTCCTGGTACAGGTTTCCTGAGTTGATGGGTAAATCCGTTCGCAAATGCTAGTAGAAGGAATTATTTCAGCAAGCTGGGGCTGAGGAAAGGGCGCAGTCTCATCTTTCATTCTGACTGTATGCAAATGAACCAATAGTGAATGTTGGATTATGCCATGAGTAGATATATTTGGAAGTAAAAAAGAGAGAGTTTATAATAGTTGGGAGCATGGAGAGAGAATAGTTGCGAATGTTATCTGTGGCACCTGCAGATGGAGGAGCTGCGACTCAGAAAGGATTCGTATAGATGCGGAAGTTAAAGCGGAGGAAGAAGCTCGCTGTGCTAACCTTAGTTCATAGGAATTTCCGGCTGGCTAGATAAGATCTATTCGGGAAAAAGCAACTTGGATTTGCATGATCTAGAAGACTTCCAGCATAAAAACCGTGAACATTACCAAAAAGACAAAGGAGACTGGAATAGCTATTTCTGGCTTATTCGCGGTCGCCAACCAGTCCTACCCAACTCCGAAGTGTGTAATACCTGGGGCTTGATCTCACGACCTGTTAGTTAGAAGTCCAAGGACTCTAACCACTGAGCCACGGGCTCGTTACCTTGCCGGTTGCGATAGTGAATACACAGTGGTAGAGGGACGTTCACCGATCGTTTCTACGGGAATCACTTGTCCAGTCGCACCCTACGGGCTCTCGCTCGAGCCCAACCAGCAGCCGCTTAGCGGCGCGTACTATAGGAAAAATTACACGGCAGGCTGGAATGGCCATTTCTGGTCTATTTAAATTTAAAATTTGCAATCGTTATATGCGTCTAATTATAAGGTTACTTTATTATAAGACGAATAAGGCTTTCGTCCATGAGATATGAATTAATTTCTGAAAATAACAATCGAATCAATTATTACGGCAGCAGTTATGGAAATTCTAAAGGCATCGGTTTGTGTGGGTAAGGCAGCTTACCGTTGCTAGCACAACCTAATTATGTGTACAACAGTTCCTGACTAAATCAGTGTATACTTTAAAATTACGAGCTTCCGTAGTTTCTGGAAGGAGCGTCGTATCAGGGAGCCAGTTCCATGCTCAATTGGCCCTACGCGAGAAGTCGTTCGGTTGGGTTTCTCTATACACCAATATCCTCTGCAATTTAAAAGGATGACCATATCGTCCGTCCGCCGCAGGCAATTCGAAGAATTCGTCAGATCCAACGCAAACTGACGGCGTCTGACAACGCGGAATGCCTGAATTGGGCGTGATATGGCTGCCAGTAATCGAGAGAAAACAAATTAAATGCGTATGACAGATGATCTATGTTCTTGAACATCTACGTAACCATCGCCTGCAACGTTTCCAGCTGTCGATAATCCTTCCCCATTCGCGGTCGCAGGCCTTGACTGCATAATCTAACTGAGACCTAACGAATGCTCCGTAGGTTTCTCTGAACAACTCCTGATCGATCTGCCCAACATTTCGTCCCAGCACCAATAACATCGTATTGCGGATTTAGCTGCCTCTTGACACACAGAGGATGGTTTCAGAACGGAGGTCATTAGGCGCCAAGGCCTTTCTGTTTCACAGCATTTGAAAGAGGCTGCCCATCAAAGACATACTGAAAGGAATCATCCTCCTTACTGGTTCTTTTGGTGCGGAGTCTCAGGCCTGCCATACCAACGGAATGTTACAGATATTTTACAAATATATAAGCGCGGGGCTAAAACTAGTGCCAGCAATTACCGGCCTGTTAGTCTTCACTGTATTTGCTGTAAAATAATGTAAGTCATAGTTAAGAAAGCAACGATCGAGTACCTGGAGGATAACCACCCACTCTCAGCGCTACAGCAGGTTTCAGACAGAACCGCTCGTGCCTCTCCTGTTTATTGCCCTCGACTGAGCTGTGAACTCGCGTTCTGCACGAGGATGGTCAGGTCGAAGTTATCTACACGGACGTCAAGAAGCCGTTCAACGCCATCCAAAACAAGTGCCTAATCTACAAACCGTCTGAAATTGGGGAATGGGGAAACCTGCTGACATGGGTCGCAGATTTTTGTGTAGACAGATCGCAAGTCGTGTGCATTGATAGTCCGAATTTAACCCCTACCTCCGTTTTAAGCGCTGTTACTCAGGGCTCAGTCTTAGGGCCGTTGCCATTCCTATTCCACATCGACGATTTTGTCGACAACCTGAGTTGCAGCTCCACCATGTTTGCTGACGATGTAAAGTTGTGGAACACCATCAGATCTGACGCAGACCAGCACGCGCTTCAAGACCGTATCTGCAAGCTAAACATTTTTTCAAATCGTTGTCTCCTAAATTTTTCAAACAGTTTATTAGAATGCCTATCAGAAGTTCTTCTCGTCCTTATTCCACGGAAAACGGTTAAATGGGATGCCACTTCCACCATCGTTCCACACTTTCTTAAAAACAGACTTAAAAAGCTACGGAAGCAGCTTGAAGACCCTACTGTGAGCTCATTATCAGTTCACCTAGGAATCGATGGACCATTTGAATTAGATTCGAAAATGAGGCTCGCGCGAAATATGCGTAGAGAGTCTTTAGCTATTAATGACATGAATGCTTCTAAAGCAGATGCTCAGATCTTCCGTCAAAGATCATCTGCTAAATCTCACCACGTCATTACGACTTTGCTTGGTAACAACGATGCCTTCATTAAAGCGGAGTCAAGTGAAACAGAAATGTTTTCTTCATTCTTTGTCAAACCTTCCACCAATCCCTTTAATTCCTCCGTTGTTTGATGTCTCTCTCAGCATCATTTATTTTCTCCTGAAACTATTCAAAAACTGATTAACCATCTTCCTAACTCTCACTCTGTAGGTACGGACAGTATATCAAACTCTCTTATAAAACAGCTACGAGATTTTCCTCCTCTGCTTAGCAAACTCTTTTCAGTATTTCTCAGAAATGTTTCATTCCTGACTATTGGAAAACTTCTATTATTATTCTGGTATTTAAGTCTGGCTGTAGTTCTGATGTTTAAAACCACCAGGTGTCCATTAAAGACCTTCTCTCGCCAAAATCTCTAAAAAATTATTGCCTTGAAAATTACCGACTTCTGCATCGCCAATCAAGTTATTAGCTCTTCCCAGCATGGTTCTTTTTTACCAGATCGCTCTCGTTTAACACGTCATGTGTCGTTTCTCGACCTACTTACTTCTCTTCGTAATGTTATCGTTATGTATTTTGACCTTTCTAAACCCTTTGATAAAGTTCCACATAAAAGACTCTCAGCTAAATTAGAAGCTCAGGAAATTCGCAGTCCCCTAACAGACTTTATCAAGTCCTACCGGTCGAATCGTAAACAAAAGGTTTTAGTGGGATCTTCGTTTTCCAGTGAAAGCATATTGTAAGTGGTGTACTACAAGGTACCGCTTTAGGTCCTCTTTTGTTCCTGCTTTATATAAATGATATCTCGGCGGCAGTTAAACATCCTAAATTCTTTATCAATGCCGATGATCTCAAATTTGTGTATCCTTTCGATAAACCTCTAACCCTTCACTGTCTGGAGCAAATCCATGCTGGCTTGCTTGCTCTATGAGCTTGGAGCTCAAAACGGTTGACTGAATTCCCGCCATTAAAAGTACGCCACTCGTGATTGAGTGAGGTGCCGAGTAGCCATTACCGATCATGACTTTCTGATATCGGTTGTACA